TTGTGACAACACTGAAAGAGTCTGCACACAAAGTTGAGTCCAAGGTTTTCACACCCGTTCACAGGTGTGCTCGATCCCGACACCTCAACCTCGCTGGATCACCAGCCTGGCGCCTTAGCCAGCTCACTCACTGCGCCCAATAGACCTTAATGTTTCACAAATTGATGCATATTGCAGTTCTTGAGCAACTACATGAAATGTACTGAGTACTTAAACTGGGTGAAAATAACCTGAGTAGTTATCAGGAAACATTATTCCAAAATTTCCAGTCTAAGTAAATTTAGGCTCAGAATTATTTGTTACACTGCTAACAAACCCTAGCAGGAGGTCGCGTCAGATAACCTTTGAGCGACCTATGACCGCCCAATCAAATGCGATACGACCGAACGGATTTAACCAATCAGACAATGGCTACTGTTTAGGGTTTGGCGGGACTTACAAAATTCCCCGGTCGCTGACACTGATCTCTCACCTGCAGTATATACACTTAGGGCTTTCTGATGACATGGCTTCCATTAGCTAATATGTCCGCAAGCTGACATCCTTGAATATTGACAAAAATGCTATTTTCAGCGACTGTTTACTCACTGTTGTGGCGTGCTCCAAGTGCATCACTCGGAAGTGATCGTACAGAAAATAGCATTCGGAATCGTTCAGGTACAAACTTTTTCAAGGTAAAAGTTCAAAAGGTATGTGCGAATGTCAACTTTCGTGATTTGGTAAGTTGTGTCCTGATTGAAAAGGTTAGCTGACGCAATCTTCTACTTCAGTATTTGGCTTTGTTAGACTCAGCATAAGCAGTGTAACGAATAATACTGAACCTAAGTTTACTTAGACTGCCAAAATTTCATAATTATTACCCCTGCAAATACATACTGAATTCAAGCACGAATACAACAGTATCACACTTGGCTACCGCAGTGGCAAAACTAAATTTGCAAAATGCTGACAAGATTATTGTAGCCATGGCAACCTCGTTACTGTACACAGTGTCTCACATCAGTATGATTTACATCCTTTACTTGCATCTAATGAAACATGAAATGAATAAAAAGTGTGCATCAAAGCAAAAATAAAGCAGTCGCGCCTTCAGATAATGAAGCAAGCCCTGTAACACGTATTTACAAACCCTTCATCCCTATTATCATGATTGTAACATCAAACAGCTCATTGTCAAGATTGCAATGCAAAATATATGTCTCAGTCGGAGATACGAATTAAAGCTTTCTCTTGACTATAAATACTAACATGCATTCTTTTACTTGATTTCTATCATGTATTCCCATGAAATGAATAGTCACACATATTCTGAACTTGGCATTCAGAAAATATTCCAGCTTTGAGACCATGATGGCAGCTGGGCTATACAAGGAAGATATCGGCATTAAGAGCAATAATGCATGCTCCTGGGTAAGAAAGACACAATCAAGGAAGTCACAGAGCCATATCTGCCCATCCAACATAGTTAAGCACTATTACAAAATCTAAGTTTCTGAACACATGAAGTTCCGGGTTAGAATACTAATCTTCAGTAACCCATGCTTGTCGTAAGAGGCAACTAACGGGATTGGTTGGTCAGGCTCGCTGACATGGTTGACAAATGTCATCTGTTCCCAATTGTGCAGATCGATGCTCATGCTGTTGATCACTGGATTGTCTGGTCGAGACTCAATTATTTACAGACCGCCGCCATATAGCTGGAATATTGCTGAGTGCGGCGTAACACTTAACTCACTCACTCTAAGTTTCTGAGCAAAGCGTGCACCTACTTCGTGTACATTAAACCCTCTACCTGGTTTAGATGGGATGACAACCAAGGCAAGTGCAACTCAAAGCAAACATTGTCACTAAGGTGACATAATGCCGCAAATTATCAAATCAAACTTATAAAGTAATGAAAGTTTAAGATGAAGTTAAATGTCAACAAAAATATGACTAATCAACCTCTCTTGATATCTGGCTCTTTAGTTGTTCAAACACACACATATTTTCAGGACTGACTTTGACCTTGACATGAATGTCATAGTGTATGAAGTATGCAAAACTAGTACTAAAGAAATTGCTTATTGAAAAACATTCAAGAGAAGTCTTAAAAGTCTATGAAGAAAATCCAGTGAACCGTTCTTAAAATATCTTGCTGACAATTCAGGTTAACATGCTGAAATCTTCAAAGTGTCGTCGTTACCCTAAAAATTATATGAAGGTCACTAAAATTGACTGGGCCCCAGGCCTTCCCTAGATAAAGCTTGGTGTCAAATATGAAGAAAATCCAGTGAATATTTTTTGCGATATCTTGCTGACTATCTTAACATGCAATTTCACATGCTGAAATCTTCAAAGTGTCTCTGTGACCTTGAAAATTAAGTGAAGGTCACCATAATCGACTGGGCCCTGCGCCTTTCTAGATGAAGCTTGGTGTCAAATATGAAGAAAATCCAGTGAATATTTTTTTGCGATATCTTGCTGACTATCTTAACATGCAATTTAACATGCTGAAATCTTCAAAGTGTCTCTGTGACCTTGAAAATTCAGTGAAGGCCACCAAAATCGACTGGGCTCTGCGCCTTACCTAGATAAAGCTTGGTATTGAATATGAAGAAAAACCAGTGAACGGTTCTTGATATAGCTTAACATGCAGGTAAAATGTTAAAGTCCCCTTGTGACCTTGAAATGAAGGTCAAGGTCACCAAACCTGAGTTGGACCTTTCTTATACTGTGATGAAACTAGGTACCAAATATGAAAACAATTTAGTGAACGGTTCTTAAGATATTCCAATTCGTACAGACGCATGGACGGACGGAGCCTAATACTATATCCCCCGCTACGCGCTAAACGCGCGACGGGGGATAATAAATTTGATTTATCAAAACTGTAGCTCTCTTGTGTTTGATATCCAACAGGCATGCATATAAATGCAGTTAATTACTTCATATTTGACTTCAATATCTTCTGTATTAATTCAGATATTAACATGAAAACCCTTTCCGTAAATTTGTGCTGCATCTGTATGCCAGTGTTCACCCAGGGATAATCTACAACAGGGAGAGGTCACTCGCTTGCTTTTTTTACCATTTGTACTAATTAGCGTGTGCCTCGTCATGCTCCAACGCACACAGTGACTTGGTTCGTTCCCAGCGCAACTTCGGCTGCGTTTAACAGTACTTTCAGCCAGTTTATTGTATCAGTCGGAATTTTACAATGAATGAATGAATGATTGAAAGAAATAAAGAAAAAGAAAAAAAGAAAGAAATACATATGTGAATGAATGAAAGAATAAATGATACACCACGGCCATACCTCCCCAAACATGTTAAAGAACGCAAAACTATCGCTAGAACACATGTGTTAACATCAGCTGTCCTTTTTTTTTTAAATCTACTTTGAGACATTGTTTACATTAGTAATTAATTTAGATATCTTATTGCATGTGTGGAATGGCATGGGCATTGACAAAATGTTAACTGACACTGTCACACACCCCTCAAAAACAGAAAGTTGTAACAAAGCGTTGTAAACACCTTTCCAGTTTTGTCAAATACTAAGATCAACAAGAAAGAAAGGAGTTTGAGAACTATATAACACTCAAGCATCACAAGCATCAATGGCGGATCAGAACAGTTCGGCGATATGTCATATTTTTCACACACCTCAAATACACCCTAACAATTTTATTTAAGTTATAAAACTATCACCATTGCTTGCAAACACATTTCACCTGATGGTATATTCCCCTCATAAAAATTAAAGGTGTATGTGAAAGATGTTTTAGAACAATAACTAGAATTAGTAGAAACACTCAAACAACGCCCTGTAGTATTTCAATGGCAGATCGGCGATATGTCAGAAGTGTCAGAATAGGTAACTTATCTTCTACATGTAGGTTTTTAGTTGTCACAACACTCAGCGAATGTAATCAGCTGTTGAAAATAAACCGGGCTCAATCTTAAAAACTATGCTGCCGCCATATTGGCTACACTGGTCACGGGCTTTTCGAGTAGTGACCACTCCCCGTTATATAGTCTCCCTGGTTCACCTTAACAACTCCATAAAAGTTGAAGTAAAGTCTTATAAATATATATGTGCCAACAAAACTACTTCACAAACTGCTATTTAATCATCAACATACAAAATCCTACAGCCAATAGTAAGCTAACAATGAAATTCTAATTCGACACATGCCATTACTTTACCCTATCAGGAAATCAGGAGTTTGTCGCTGCCCCAGTCAGAGTATCCTTATGATTGTTTGGATTTTTTGGAAAACATAAATGCAAAAAATGCTTGTTTGGCCATGAAATTTGGTGGAATAGCTTACAGTGCATGCATTCACTCATGAACAGCTGATAAAGTTATACGAAGTTCTGCTGTATGAATTTAAGAGTTAAAGTGGTATCACTAAAAGTGAAACGATATACATCATCTATTACATGTCCCTTTAATTCATTCATTGCACTACCTGTGCACATGACATGACAAAAAAATGTCATTAAGAAGTAAACAATATACTAAACATCACGCTTCTTGTGACAAACAGAGCACCGATAGGTTAAACATGATTGCGTACAAGTCTGAGGTAAAGGCTAGGATACGTACAAAATCCGTCACGAACGCGGAAGAAAGTGTAGACTATTACAGCAGGGTCCCACTGTCACAAACGTCATTATCCAACTAAATTGTCATGACCCCAACAATAGAACTTCGAGTGATGCTTAGAGGCAAATGCGTATCCATGGCTATTTCAGCAAAGTGTTAATGCAATTCAATGGCATGTATTGTCATATAATTCTGAAAGCCACGCCTTAATGACTATTGACAAGTAAACAGGTATGTGGGCTTCTGTCTGCATGACGATCGGGGACATATCGCACAACAAAAGCTAAGGAAGGATGTCTGTCCGCATTGATCGATTTCTGCAGAACTGCAAACAGCTACAGCTCCCATTGAGTACGCATCTCATAAAAACAACTTCCGAGAATCAGTAGCATTAACTGCCACTCACCGATCGTCCTTCAAAGGGTCGTAGTCTTCGCGAGGTGACCGAGAGTACTTCGCATCGTCTTCGTCGTCCGCCATGTTGGAATGCAAATATCGTGGTATCACACCTTCTCTCGAGGTCGCTGCGCGAGACAAGCTGCAGGTGCCTGGGATGAACTTTGACCCCAAAGAAGCTGGAATCCCGCGAATTTTAAAAAGATGTCAGACAGAAGCATGCACGTCAACATGCATTAACTAGCTATCAATCACTTTTGTAGTAGATCTAGTATTAAAAAGGAGTAAGATATAAAACGAATGCATCACAAATAAAAATATATACGTGTAATTTTAGTAAATATGACTTCCTCCTCTTTTAGCAGTATATAAATGCAATGACGCTAGATGAAATAAAGTGTGTATTAGAAGTAACCGATGCCTTAATGTTAGTTTTAGACGTATGCCGTTGTTTTGAGCCAGGGTGGCCCACTTTACCCCTACAGTTTAGAAAATGTGTTTCAAAACAATATTTGATCGCGTATTTCAATCCGTGTTGCATAAATATTTTGTAAAATAAGTGATACTTTCTTGTTAAAAAAGCTTCATGTTTTTTATTACTCGGCTATTCATTTCATAACTTTTAGGGTTGTTGGAGCGGAAGTTATTTTCTATGAATATGTTTCTCTTCATATCCAAAACCCTTTTTTGTGTAAGGTTTTACCTATTTACTATCGAGAATGCAACAGCTTCAAAGCTTGTCACAGAAGCATTCTGAGCAGTTGACTTTCATTCTTATTCTCTTGTGCCAAAATATTATAGAACAGTAGAATTGGGTCGGATGTTAGGGTCGGGCGATATAAATTGGAACCGGGAACATTATGTAAACCTATATATAACCTAATCACCATTTTAGCACCATTCTTAAGAGAAATCTATACCTAGGAACCTCTGATTTTATTTGTTTATGATAGAAGAATGTTTTATCAGTTTGTTCGTTTGGATAAAGTTTGAATATTCCCGGAACTACAGTAATATATATCTTAACAATATATTTTAAAAAGTAATTAATGATATTGCATGTTTTTAGAGGTGCATATTAGTTTACCTCTTGCATCAAAATGTAACACTATGTTACACACCCCTAGTTTAATGTTTTCTGGCATGTTACTTTCCTGTTTTTCAGAATACAAGGGTTTGACATTTCTCTCATCGGTCCCAACTCCTGCTTGTAGCTTATGAAAAGAGAATTTGCATACAGAACCAGTGAATCGAACTTTTAGCGAGGAGCTGTTTCAAATCTGTTCTTCTTTGATGCTAACGATGACACGCAAAATGATATTGTGTTCCACATTGTGTATTTACTTACCGGTCCATACTATTTCTGAGGAAAAGTGAAAGAAGCAGTGTTTTATGTCAAGTGTTCCCATGACACTCTTTCCATATACATGTACAATAAGGCATCCCTTTCTGTACTTCAGTGTGCGAAAATACTTCTCAGAATATCAGAGCGACTCACAAGGTGTGCATACATCCACATCCCCCGGGACTATCATCTGCGTCAAGGTTGTATTGACGAGCTTAACATGTAATGGTTAAACAATGGTAAGAAACCAAACAAGAAAGACGCAGCAAGGAGATTATGGAAGAGAAAAACTACAGCTTGTATTGGACGCTATAAAATCCGGCGGTGCTATCCGCAAGGTAGCAAGTCAACTTGATATATACATGTACCTTGTTCGACCTTGCAACGAAATTACATAGGCAAAGTGGAAAACTCTGGCCAACTTGGCAGATTCGGGCGTGATTTATAACGACAGATTCAAATCAGAGCTGACCAAGCATATAATAGAAATGCAGTCTGTGTTCCATGGAATGTCCCTTACAGACATACAAAAATTAGAATTCTCCATGGCTGAAAGGAACCATTCCCCCCTATCATTTCAATCATGACTTCCAAGGAAGTGGCTGGTAGTGATTGGCTTTCTTCTTTAAAGAAATGGTACCCTGAGTTGTCACTGCGTAAACCTGAAGCTACAAGTATGGCTAGAGCAAGTGGTTTCAGCAAGCAAGCAGTCAACGAATGTTTAACCCTCTTAAAATAGGTTTACGAAACCCACAAGTTCAGGCCAGAAACCATATGGATTGCTAATGAGTCTTCCATAACCAATGTCCATAAATCTGGTAAGATAATTGGGAAGTGAGGGAAATCACCAGTTGGGGAAGAGGTAAGCCTGTCACTGTTCTCTGCTGTGTCAATGGAATAGGAAACTACATCCCACCAATAATGATTTTCCCACGGAAACAAATGACATCCAATCTGATGAAAGGTACACCACATGGATCTGTCGTTTTTACGAGCGACAACGGTTGGATCAACCATGATAAATTCCTTACGTGTCTCAAACGCTTTGCCAAACCTGCAGCACAAAAGGCCTGTCTTCTGTTGCTTGACGGACACAGCAGCCAATAAGTCACTGGAAGCTGAAAGCTATGCACGTGAAATGGGTATAACCATCTTGGTCCTCTCACCTCACACCACGCGTAAACTTCAACCTTTGGATATAACTTTTTATGGACCACTGAAGTATAACCATCTTGGTCCTCCGAGAGGATCATTGGGTATAACCATCTTGGTCACCCCACCTCACACCACGTACTAACTTCAGCCTATCGATAGAACTGTTTTTGGACCACTGAAGACACGGTACAACCAGGTAAATCCTTGTCAATCCAGGTAAAAGGATTTCCTTCTTTGAAATGGTTGAACTGTTTGGTGATGCCCACAACTATGGCAAAAGCTGTCAATTTGTTCAAATGCACTGGCATATGGCCGTACAACAATGAAATATTCAACGATGAAGTTTTTGCATATGAAAGCCGCGTTGAAGTACCCGGGACATCGCTCTTACTGTTCACGGAAGTTACTGTTCTTCGCCTTGTTGTTCTTGTTCCTCATTTCTTCTTTCCTAGTGGCGTCGACTTGAGTGCCGTTCTTGGAATAGAGTCTGGACTCATTCTGAAAACGTGCCCAAGCCATCTGTACCTCCTTGTCTTTATTTCAAGAGAACTGCATTTTGCTCTTGTTTTCTGTAGAGGTCAGATCTTCTTTGGCCAGTAGATGTTGCAGATCTTCTGCAGGTAGCTATTGTGGAAGGCATCGATCTTTTCATGTTTGTCAGTATCACGCTCTGACCCATACAGGGTACAGACTTTAGCTTGCTGTTGTAGAGCTTCACTTTGGTCTTGAGAATGTAGTTCTTGCTCTTCCAGATGGGGCGGAGCCTGCTGAAGATACCTCCTACCTTACTCAACCGGACGTTAATATCTTTGTGGGCACCATTGTCGTTGCTAATGACACTTCCAAGGTAAGTGAAGTCTTGGACATACTTCAGTTCTCCTTTATTGATGGTGATCGGAGGTAGAGGCTTTGATATTCATCACTTATAGACCGTCAACTTAACTTTTGGCACCCTGTTTTTCACAATTTACAAAAAACTCCTGAATATTTTAAAACATTACTCTGTTCATATGGCAATTGTATCCCGTGACGTATCACAATATCGAGTTCAGTCATTTCAAAACGGTTATTAAAGAGTTTGCCTTTAAACCTATCATGTAATAATTGTAAAACTATCGAGAGTATTACGAGGTTAACGCACGTGAACGAAAAGCCAACAACATTGTAAAATGTGTGTCAGTGTGAAATGTACATGCACGGGTATTTACATTAGCACGCTTAAGTGATGTTAAAGATCGTCAGCACACAGGTTGAAGAGTTGTAGTGAAAACGATGTTGTCCAAAGATGCCCGGCAAATCATCAAAAGAGGTCACAACTTTTTTCAAGTGCGAGACAAAGCGAAAAAAAACCTCTTATCTCAATTGAGTGTTTCACCAAAAGAACAATTAATGCCACCAAGATCTGCAAAAGAACTGTGCAAAGAGTTATCTCCCATGGCACTATTTCAGAGCCTGATGATGACATGGCAGTTAACTCGGGGGGCCTTCTCAAAACATGCAAAGAAAAGAAAGCTTGATTAATTCGATAGAAGGGTTGTGAGGGACCTCATACGTCGGTTACATCGATCCAATGAGTCCATATCGTCAAGTAAATTGAAGAAAATATTGAAAGAAGACCATGACATCAATGTATCAAAGTATACTATATGCAAGCTGTTGCTCAGATTTGGATATAGATACAAGAGATTGAGCAGCCAGAAACTGACTCTATGTGAAAGGGCAGATATCACTTGTATGAGAGCCCATTATCTGAGAAGAATACGCGACAAGAGGGACGAGAGATCGTGTGGCTAGATGAGACATGGGTGAATGCAAACCATACTTCCTCTTATCAGTGGCAACATCCGGAAGCAGCCAACAACAGGAAGATTCCATTGGGGAAAGGCGAGGGACTTACTGTTGTTCACGCAGGCTCTCATTTAGGGTTTATTCATGGTTGTGACCTTATTTTCCGTTCCAAGCGACTACCACTCGGAAATGAACTCAGCTGTGTTTACTGAATATGTGACAGAGCAGCTTATTCCAACACTACCCGCTAAATCTGTCGTAGTCATGGATAATGCTCCTTACCATAGCTGCAGAGAACCGAACAACAGATGCCCCACCTCTGCATCAAGGAAGGGAGATATGGTGCAATGTTGGAAAGACTTGGCATTGAATATCCCCCAAAGGCCACAAATGTAATACTGCATAAAATCATCCTTGCCAGGAAAACACCACCAGTGTATCAAATTGACAACTTGCTGAAGCTTCATGGAAACGAGGTCATTCGGTTGCCGCCTTACCACTGCGATCTAAATCCTTTTGAACTTGTGTGGGGACATATAAAACACAACGTGGCCAAGAAAAAACTTTCCTTCAAATTAAGAGATGTGAAGAACATCGTTCATGAAGAAATCAGGGACTTTACGCCAGAGTTGCGGAACCGTTGTGTACAGCATGTGCTAGATATTGAACAGCAGTACTGGAAAAGGGATGGTTTGCAAAAGGGGTGTGTTAACCCAGTGATTGTGGATTTGAACACAGACAGTGACACAGACGTAGAACTAGGTATATACGACACTTCAGGATCAGATAGAGAACAGTGACAT